GCTGTGCTCTTGCCCACCTGCTGGTCACTGACCCATTGCTGCATTGAGGTCTCTTTTGATCTTGGATACCAAAGATTCCTGCCTTTATGCTTTTTGTGGGTTAAAAATCCATGCTTGTGATCATACTAATTGTTGATATTGGACTGCTCCGTTTGGATACGTAGACTTTTAGAAGTGCACAAAGATCATTCAGATAAGGTGTTTGAGTTCAGAATCCTTTTTTGGGCTCTCTTAATGTGAGAATTAAGGTCAAGTATTCTTAGAAAAATAAAATCTTTTACTGGGTAATCCATATCTATAAAACAGTTTGTAGGTTTTAGATAGTTCCTATGAATAACGTTAGCTCTTTTTACCTTTATAAGGATGTTTTTCAACTTGTAAAGAAAAGCACTTAGGCAAGCTAAACCTGATGAAAGGCTTGCATAGTGAAAAAGATGCAATTTTTCCAATTATACTGTTGTTCTAATAAAAGATTATATTACTGTAAATCCATTTTACTTAAATATTTTGGGTACTGTCTGGACATTGTAATAAAAGTGTGTTTAAAAAGTATGATTAAAAACAGTGTTTCTGAAGGGGAAAAGTAATGTAATCTCCAATCATTGAGGTTTGGGATTTTTGCTTGTTTTTGCAGTGTATTTTGAGAGGTGATGACAGAAAGGTTTGATACTGTGCAAAGAGATAGGAAGATGGTATTTAACGTATCAGAGCTGTGTTTGATAAAACGAGGAGGCATTTGGTTCTCAGTGCTGCAGTAAGAAAAGTGATTATATAGAAATGATGTGTAAAATAGTTGTCTTTTATTTGCAGTCAGGCTTTTCTGAATGATTGGCTGAGGGAAAAATAATGTTGATTCCCAAAATGTATTTTGTTGTAGTTAATTGCCTAGTTAGATTTTTTTTCAGAGTTAAAACCAAAATTCTTATATCTTGTTTTGTATTTCTACTGTGGACGTTTTTAGGAACTGTTTACATTTAGTAGAAACCTTTGCACTTTTCCAGCACCTTGATATGAAGTTGTGATAGTGCACTTTGAACTTTTTCTAAATATGGAAAATGTCCTTGCGGTAAAATTTGATTTTTTTTTTTTTATTTTTTTTAGTTGTTCAAAGTTGTTTCGTGACAATGAGAAGAAGCTTAGATTTGTTTCCTCTTCTAGATCGTTAGCATACTTAAGCTAAATAAGAAAAAATCAAGATAACTGATGGTGCCTGTGTTGTAGAGATTCTGTTTATTGCCCAATGTGAAGTTGAACGCGGGGTTTTACTGAGAGTATGTATCTGCTTGCACATCTTGCTGTACTGGTTAAATATGTTATTATCTCAAGTGCTCATCATTTTCAAAAAGCTGATGTAGCACAACCATCCGCGGAGTTCTGCGTAATAAATAGTTTGAATGGGCTTGCATCTGGTTCAGGCAAAATCAGCTGGGCTAATTAAATCTGCTGAAGCTAACCTGACTGACCCTTCATGAAATGAAGGGGGAAGCTCTTAGGTATGTGCTCGGCCAGCAGAACTGCAAGGCAAAAGCAAGTTGGTGCAGGAAGGGGGATGGGGATAGTGACATTTCGGCTCGGCACCATTTCTTGTGGCGAGAGCAGCTTGTGTACACGTAGAAACTGATCTTTTGCGTGTAGGAATACCGCTTGTTTTCATGGACAAGACAGTCCCTTCCCAATTTTTGTTTGTTGTTAGCAATGCACAAATGTTTATAGGAGGCAAACCAGTGAATCCTTAGAAATGTTTTTGGTACAGTGTTTCCTTAAACTGCAGGCTGGTGGTGGGCTGGAACGTGGGGATATCTTTGTGGCTGTTTCCTTCATCAGTCTGATTCTTTTAAAAGCATCTTATTCTGCTCGTAGTTTCCATACTAGAGGTTTACAGAAAAATGTTTATACTACAGCTTCAAACATGTACTGAAATGCTAGAAAACCTAAAGAATTTCTGTGGATTCCTTATATTAAGATCAGATGTGGGAATGTCACATTGAATATCTGCTGCACAAAACTCAGATCATTTTAATGGAAAATAAGAATCTGAAATGGTATGTGCCTAGCAGCAAAATAAAAAAACAGGGGGAAGGGAGTGGACAGAGGGAATTCTATAATGGGCCAGAATTACACCTTGGTGGTTACAAGTCCATTTCTCTGCTGTGCTGACAGAGAAGGTAATTACTGCATTTATGTCTTTTTCAATGACGTGACACTAGTTTCTAAAGCAAAGTGGTGTATTTGAGAGAAGCCTACAATGCGAGCAACGCAGTGATCCATCCGTCTGATTGAAATGTGCTGTGGGCTGAGGCAGTTTCAGCTGCAGGGCAGTTTGAACAAAAACGGTTTTTAAAGTGTGTGACAACACTTTGTACGTTTTTAATTTTTCAATAGTAATTAATCTGTCAACTGAAACTTGGCTTTCATTGATTTTTATTACTCTAAAAGTTAGCCTAGAATGTAAATAGCATTAAGATTAGCAATCTAACTGAAGTTGATGGAGAAGTGCATAAGCCCCAGTAGCCTTCAAAGCAGGTTGTATGTTTCAAATTAGGTTTACATAAACCGTTGCTAAGTGTTCCCTGCCTGGGAAGAAAACCTTTAACTTTGGAAATATTAGTTATTTGTGGCGGGGGGGGGGGGGGGGGGGGGGGCGTCTATTTTTTTTG